GTCCAAGTAGTAGCTTGTTTTCAGAAGCCTGTATTAAAAACTGTTATCAATTTGCTGAAGGGTGTATATAATTTAAGCGTTTGGTTGCAGCAATGCTATATATACATTACTGTAGTTCTTCAGGAAATGTGCATGTAAAAAAATAATGTGTAAAATATCAATGGAAGTTTTGCCTGCCAATACGAGATTTGGCTACTTGATGATAATGCATAACTTTAAATACAGGGAAGCTTATGATACAATTGTTTCATTAAGTTTAAGGCTAAAATATGACCAGCCTTCTCCAAACACCACCTGTCTTTAGTTTGAAAATTTTTGTTGAGGACCTTTTTCTTCAGGATTTCTGGAGGTAACCATGCCCACAAAAGAATCAACAGGCCATACACCTGTGTAAAAAGTATCAGCTATGGCAAGAAGCATTTGACTTGTACATGTCCTACGTGTATATTCTGAATAAAATCTTGAATCCACACAGAGTAGGTAAGATTCTGCTAGCTGTATATTGAGCATAGTACCTTTGCTTGACAAATCTTAGCCACGTATATTGGGGCCCTAAATTAATACATAAGCTTTTGCATGTTTTTTAAACATAACAATTACTGAAAATTTACATTAGTTGAACAGTGTTCAATATCCTGCTACCATGTAAAATGACTCTTAAGCGCCATATTTTCAGCATGCATCTGCTGAAAATATTTACCATGGCACACTTGTTGTTTAATGTTGGTTCACAGTTTTAGGTGTAATTGTATGTCTTTCAAATGTTAATGGTTTAGTTTTGAATAGTATTATGTTAAACAAATTTGTATTAAATGCAAAGAAATCTTGTTTTTGTAAGTAAATTCTGCTACTTTTCAAAGGTGGCCTAAAGATTCATAAATTCATTGTAAACAGACAAGCGTCCCTTTATGTGCTATCACCAACATTAAGCAATAAAATTGAACGGTTAATCTTAAGGCTATTATTGTGTAGTGAATAAGTTGTTGGTTTTTTGTTCTATGGGCTTCACTATAGGTTGTAACAAGAAAAATCTGAGGATCTTAGGTGGAAAATATCTTCTTGAGTGAGAATACTTTTGATAAAGTAATAGAAGAAGATTTCAATCCACATTTGTTATGATATGAATACTTTTGTGGATATATTTCCATTAGCATGGAAATGCTAATGAAACATATTTTAATGAAACATATTTTACTAAGAAAGCTGATAAAACCTGTATTTGAATATTTATTTATTCTTGGTTAACGTATGTAGTACTGTTAAACAAGATTCAGAAGGAAATTGTTTTCTTATTAACCATGTGATTTTTTTGTTGCTTCATACATAAGCTAGGGATCTGTTTATAAATGGCAATGTATCCTTATATTTTAAAATTATGTTGTTACTTCAAGTCCATAAAATGGTTTTCATCTTTTGTACTACAGGTGCTTCCCCCCCCCCCCCCCCCAAAAAAAAAAAAAAAGCAATCATAGGCTAACTTCTGGAAAGGCCTCAAATTTATAGTTGAACTTTTGCTAAAAACTGAAAAATGGAATTGTAGTCCTAGGACTTGTTTAAGCCTGCAAGTTTCACAGATTTCAACTGAAATGATTTTTAAAAATTATTTTAGTTGGATTGGTACAGCACCTTGCATGAACGCACTCTAAATTGATTTACACCTGGCTTCAACTGATTAAACTCAATGAGTATTAGGTAGTTGTAAATTTATTTCAATATGCTCACATGAAGTTTGCACTACTTGAGATAAATGACTGAACTTCTTAAACCCGTTGTAATTTCTTTAGATCAGCCCTTACATTGTAATTCATCTATCACTAGAAAGATAGAAATACTTGAGAGGTTCATTGTGTCCAACTTTGTACACTAATCCTGGGTGACAGTATATTGTCTGTAGGAAATGAGCATCGGAGTGCCCTTCTTGTATAAAATAAATAGTTTAATCTCTTCATTTGCCTTTATATTTAATCTTGTGAAAAAATATTTGTCCTCTTACAAATTTCTTATGTTCAGCACAGAATTTTATCTTCCTGTAGTTGACTGTTCTTTGGTAAATATTTAAAAATACCTTATGACTTTTCATTTAAAAAGCACAGAGCTTAAATACTTATAAGAGGAGCTAAAACTTTATTTTGATTCTTTGAATGCTGGAAAATAATGATTTGTCAGGTTCAACGCTTTATCACTGAATAAAAGAAGGAATAGCCATTTCTGACACTTGTATAGGTATGTTTTTCACCTAGTCATATTTATACTGGAAAATCTTAATGGTAGTGGTGTGGGTTGTTTCCCCCCCCCCCCCCAAACGCTTGCCTGAAACATAATGCAGGTTTTTTTTGTTTTAGAAGTTATATCTGCTACTGACTGAAATATGCTTAAAAGGTGGAGTACATGTGAATTTTACAGAGTACACAGTGGGAAATATTTGGTTCTTATTAGGTTATGGGGTTTGGAGGGGGAGATGGTTTTTATACATAACTCATTTCTGATCACATGTTCCATCTTCCATTATTTATAGCTTAGCTAAGCCAGATTTAAAATCAGTATCTCCTAGTATAGTTAAAGTTACTTAGTCAAATCTGATCAAGTATTTGAAAGTGGAGGGTGTATTGTTTTAGTTTTGCTGTTGTGATCACTATTGAAAGCTGACTTGGCACAAAGCAGCCCTTTTTTCTGGATAAAAGGGAAACAGGCTATGAGATAAGTTATTGATGAAATTAACTGCTGAAGTGGAGAGGAAATGCAGCTGGCCAATACGTGTCATAGTGTGAGCTCTATTAAATGAATATATGTGCAGTCAACCATTCACAGGAGCCGCACTGGTCTTGAACTGCATTGATCTATAGTATAATTCTAAATGAAATTGATGGATGAGAGCAGCCATTGACAGGAAGGGTAAAGAGAACCATGAAACGTCTCGTATAGGGAAAGTATGATGGAAAGTAGACTGGTGTATGCCGTGGCTAAAAAGTGCAGTGGAAGTGTGGTATTCCTGGATGGTGTTAGATACCTCAGCCCTTATTATAATACTCTATATGACAACAGACTTTTGGAAAAGTGCTTTACAGTGTTTTATTTTTAGAAGAAAATCCATCAGGAATCCTGTCAAGAATTTCAAATCGGCTTCTCAAGAACTTATTTTAGGTACAGCTGTGTAACTTGCAGCTCTGAGCTTTGAAAGAAATTTAGTATATGTGTTGTGAAGGCCTTTTACATTAAAATTTAAAGATTGTTTTACTTGATATGCACTTAATGTAAGTACAGCTGTTACGTGAAGATATATAAGCTTCTTTCAAAAGACTTGTGTAAAAATGCTATCTTCAAGTCAAATATAATTTCAGGTGGCTTCTATCTCAAGCACATCCTTTCATACAGTCATTGAACTGCTAAATTTACAGACATTGATAAATAAAACATTGGGTTCTGTTAGACTTTACTTACATCAGGGTCCACGTGTTTTAGTTGTGACACCACATTCATCTGAACTTGGGCACTGAACAGAACTGGCACTTTTGTCAGCCTGCTTCCTGAAAAAAGAATATCTCTTTTTAAATTTTGCATTCATTTGTAGGTAGCCTTTCTGATATATTGCCTGTTAAATTCACTGCTTTTAGCTCTTTGTTTCATTTTCTGTGTAAGAAGACTCTAATGAGCAAATTTCTTTGCCAGTGTTTCTTTCAGTTTAATTGTTACCATGTCACTTCTAGTGATGAAAGTACTTTTTTAGTTTCTGTTAGGACTGATTTAAACATAGAAGGAATTATGCATGTACGCAGACATGTGTCTGTATACTTATTTAAAATTTACTAATAACTAGAAAAATCTAGTTTGCTTTTTTTTACTATTTTTGATTTACACCCGTAACAGTAGTGTGTAAAATTGTTCAGCTATAATGTAATGGAAGCTGTAGTTACTAGTTTAAAAATATTTAAAGCATCTTTATTATAGCAGCTCCGAGGAGTATTGCTAAAATGCTGCTGCAGTTTTTTAAAGGCTGCAAGCTAGCTGGAAATTTTAACTGTTTATCCATGAATAGGTTTGCAATTTTGTGTGTTGTCATCTCTGAATCTCACGTTAGTAACCTATATACACGTTAGTAACCTATATAGTTCTCCAGATCATAGAATGGTTAAGGTTGGAAGGGACCTCTGGAGATCATCTAATCCAGCCCCCATGCTCAAACAGTGTCCCCTAAAAGATGTGGCCATATCAGTCAAACTAGCTGTATGGGGTAGGGGTTCCTCCTGTGCTGACATTAATTGTGCAGTTCTTGGATATGAGTCTACCGTGTGTAAAATTTGCGAACTAATGCCATCAGTTTTCCTCAGCATGAATGAGTCGGTATCTTGAGCTTCCTCATACCTTAATTATTGTGCATGTCTTGACAAGTTTCTTTAGCTTTAGGTCCTTGAGATGTACAGGTGACTTAAAATTACTTCCTTCAGAGATAATATGCTGGGGCCTTATATGCTGTTTTGAATGGCATCCATTTTAAGGGTTTCTTAAACAAACAAAAAAAGCATGTCAGGAAAATATAAGCAGTGCAAGGGTGTGGTATCTCATACCAGCAACACAACAAAAATTGCAGGCATGTCTTCATTTTGTAATTATTCTAACATGCTGGAATTGCACAAGTGACCACATTTTTAGAAGAAAAAAAATCAAATCTTTCACCTGTTTTAACTTCAGTGAAGTTGGATCTCTTGAAGATATCACAGGTAACTGTACAAATGCTATAGGACCCATTTCTGTCCCCCCTGTTTATAAACAAGCATATTTTTAATTTTATCAGAAATACTGTACTCAAGTATTGGGTGATATGCAGAGCGTTCCTGGCGGAAATCAACACACAGGCATTCCAAAGCATCAGTCCTCTATATGGGGACATTTATTTAGAAATGTTTTAAAACAGTTTATTTTCACTTCTTTTTTTTTTTTTTTAAACTCAAACTGAATTTTTTTGAAATCTAAAAAATAGTTTGGTGTCTTTTTACAACTTAAAGGTTCGTGTTTTATTCGAACTGACCAGCTCGATGGAGAAACAGACTGGAAACTAAAGGTTGCTGTCAGCTGTACACAAAGGTTGCCAGCTTTGGGGGTAAGTATTTTATCTATTTGTTTTTAAACTTCTGTCCGTTATGTATATGTATACATTGTAAATGTCACAGGTAAAGCTGTTAAAATTGTATGATGTGTCCCATATATGGTGTGTGTATGTGCCCCTTTTTTATGTATGTCTATATATGTATATATTCAAAATAGACACATGTATCTACTAAAAATTATGTAGATCTTATGAGTATGTCTCTTCTGAGAAGCTGAAGCTTGTCCCATGTATTGGAGAAGCTTGAAATTTCACGGAAGAGTTGTACTGGCTTGGTATTAAGGGACTTCCTCTGCAAACATATCCAAGTTTGAGCCTTATGGAAATTTACCTGTACAGAATTACTGGTGTTGGGATGTTAAATCCTTTGGATGTGTTATTACTGCTGAACATATTCCAAGAGGGCTGTGTATATGCCACCTTTATAGGTCAAATAAGTGTATTATCTAGGAGACCGCCAGATCTTAGCGAGATATCTGCAGTTACTCCTCCTGAATTGTGGAGTTGCTATCATGCTGCAATTAGCTTAAGGGAGACTTTTTTTCCCCTCCCCCGGTGTTCCTTGTGCTCTGGCTACTGGCTCCAGGTGCCAGGCAGGTGAAAAGAAAGACTTCTAGGTTTGAATTTAGAGGATCGGGAGTGAGGGATGGAGAT